CCACTCCCTAAGCTCTGCGCCCGTGACCTGGCCACAGCTCAGTCACCCCAGGACCACCGTGTGCTGGGGATTTGCCACAGGTTTGCCCTGGCGTGTGAGGTCCAGCGGGGTCCCCATCAGCTTCCCTGTCCGCGTCCCTGTCCCCTTCCGGCCTCCTTCTGCGCTGTGGGCAGTGGCTTGGCGCCACCTGCTGGGCTGGTGCCCATGGTGCCACCAAGCGCAGGAGGGACCAGGCGGCTCCTGGTGGGACCCGGTGGCTCCAGGTCTGTGGCCACGCAGCTGAGAACACCTGTTGTCCTGCCTTTGCAGGGACAGCGAGGCAACCCCTGCCTGGAAGGAGCACTTTCCCCACCGAGGCCAGCCCAGGGCACGTGCTGAGCAGGTGTGTTGAATGGGTGGAAACAGTACAACCCCTGGTTGTGGGACGGGTTGAAGCCCACCCCTGACCCCTCCAGTACCATCCCTCTGTCCCTCCACTTGCTGGGACTGGGGGCGGAGGATGGGGTCACTGTGGGCACTTGATCCAGCTGGTTGACTTCAGGGTCCCGGCAGGGAGTGGCTCTTGCTGCCAGGACAGTAGAGGCCTAGAGAGTCCTATCTCTGACAGCAGTCACCTTGCAGGGTTCGGGCCAGAGAAGGGGAAGGGATGGGAGAGAATGGCCGCCTCCAGGGTCATTTTAACTGGTTGTTGGACAGGGCCAGTGTGACTTCAAGTTCAGTGACAACCCCCCTCTCCATGTCTCTGGGATGAGGTGGGGGCCTGTGGCCCCACTGAGCTGAGCCACCCAGGAGGCTGGGGAAGGAGACGCAGTACACAGAAGCCCAGCATCCTCCGGCTGCACGGACATCTCCACCCAGGCCCTTCTGCAGCCACCTCCCCACTTACCCAGCAGGAGACCAAGCCAATTCTTTTCTGCGAAACTGGGCTGGCCTCTGTGACTGTCCTGCAACTAGACAGAGGCCTAAGGGACTCTGCACAGTTTCTGGGCTGAGGCAGAAGCAGCCCCGTGGCTTCCCCTCTGCCTCCTGCATGCCGCCTCCTCTTAGCTCTTAGCGCCTGCTGGGAGAAGCTGGCCCCAGCGTGGACAAGCCTCCAGGAGACCGGAACACCCACCACCCTGTGCCTTCCCAACTGAGCCCCAAACAGCGTGGAGCAGAAGAGTCCTGCCTAGCCCTTCCCTGGAGACTCCTTGAGTGTAACCAAATGGTTGCTGTTTTGTGCCTCTGAGTCTGGGGTGGTCTGTGATGTGCCCAGCTGGCTTGAGTGGAAGAACGTGTCACTTCAAATCCTCATAGCCACCTTCAGGGGAAATGGCCTTGCCTCCCCTGGCAGATGTTCCCATGTCAGGCAGATGTTTTATTCGCCACAGAAAGAGCAGACTGTATTAATGGAGGGCTGTGCAGAGTGACCCAGAGCAAATATTCCAGACCCAGCCTGCCACTTCCACCGTGGCTCCACCGCTTCCTCACCGTGGGCAAAATCTCAGCTCTCTGGGCCTCAATCCCTTTGTCTATAAAGTGGAGATAAGGACACACAAGCATCAGAGGGATGTTGTGGGAAACAGCTTTGCTGGCCTGCGTGGAGCCTGCAGAGGAGGGCCTGTCCCCCGCTTATGGGGAGCCAGCCCCCAAGGTGGCCCATGATGGCTCCTTGCCCTGTGTGAGCCAGAGGGCAAGGCAGGAGGGTGGTGTGACTTTGAGGCCAGGTCACACAATCCCTCAAGGCTTCCATCTTGCTGACTCGGATCACCCATGAGAGAAGCTGAGTGAGGGCACGACAGCTGCCATGTTGCAAGGATGCTCAAGCAGCTCTGGGGGAGGCCCTCGTGGGAGGAACTCAGGCCCCCGCCAGTGGCCAGTGCCACCTCACCGGCCGTGTGGGCGAGCCCCTCAGAAACAGACTCTCCAGCTCCTGCTGGGCCTCTACAGGGCTGCAGGCCTGGGGACATCCTTTCTGCAACCTCATAAGCGACTCTGAGCCAGACCCTTAGCTTGGCCATGGCTTGGTCCTGACCTACAGACCTGGGTGAGATATGAAGTGTTGTTAGGGTTTGAATTGTGGTCCTCCAAAATCATATGTTAAAATCCTAATCCCCCAGCACCTCAGAATGTGACTACATTTGGAGACACTGTCATTAAAGAGGTTACTAAGGTAGGCCAGGAGCAGCTCGTGCCTGTAATCCCAACACACTGGGAGGCTGGGGCCAGAGGATCACTTGAGTCCTGAAGTTCTGAATCAGCCTGGCAACATAGCCAGAACTTGTCTCTACAAAAGAAAAACAAAGAAAGAAAGAAAAAGAGGGAGGTGATGGTGTGGGGGTGAGGGGGGAGAGAGGAAGGAAGGGAGAGAGGGAGGGAGGAAGGGCCATGAAAGTAAAATGAAGTTATTAGGGTGGGCCCAAATCTGACTGGTATCTGTAAACAAAGGGGAGATTAGGACACAGACATGCACAGAGGGATGACACCGTGAGGACACAGGGAGAAGACGGCACCTGCAAGTCCAGAAGAGAGGCCTTGGGAGGACCCAACCCTGTGCACACCTTGATCTTGGTCTTCCAGTCTCCAGGACTGTGAGAGGGTAAATAAATGCATGCTGTTAAGGCCGCGGAATCTGTGTTCCTTTGTTATGGCTGCCGGGCAAGGCAATCCAAGGGTTGCTTATTTGACGGCGTCCCATTCTGGATGTTCTCTGATGAGGAGTGATGGAGAACTGTGTACCAGGCACTCCGCTGAGCATGGCAGGGGCCTTGGTCACAGCGATCCGGGAAAGTGTGCTGTGGTTGTCCCTGTTTACAGGGGCCAGGGGGTGCAGCGACTTGCTCGAGGTCACTTGGGCCATCAGGTGGAGGCTGGGGGGCAGCACTTGGACCAGTGCTTTCTGTACCCTGTTGGCCTGGACACAAGCTCCCCATGGTGTCCTCTTTGGAAGGATGGGGGGCAGTGGGCCCCTCGGAGCCCCTGCGGGAGAATCCTCTTCCCTGACAGAGGCAGACACTCAGGTTAGGGAGAGGGTTGGTAGCCTCAGAGCCCAGCTCCTCCCCTCCCTGCGGTCCCCTCAGCCTGCTGGCACTTTCCAGATCTTTCCAAGCCTGGCTACATCACTCAGTCTCAGTGCTGAGTGCTGGGTGCAGAGGCCCTGCTGCCTTTGCCATCTCAGGGTCTTTGTTACTTCCATGCTTGTGCTTTCTCGTCCAGCCTCTCTGGAGCTCAAGCTCTGAAAGGAGGCGCACTCCTCTGTTTCCCTGAGTTCCTGGTACCTGGCAGGCGGTAGGGCCCAGTGTGTACTTGCTTGGTTGGTTGGTTGGATAGTTGGTTGAATGATTGGTTGGTCAGATGACTGGTTGGTTGGTTGGATGGTTGGTTGGTTGGATAGTTGGATGGTTGGTTGGTTGGATGGTTGGATGGTTGGTTGGTTGGTTGGTTGGTTGGTTGGTTGGTTGGTTGGTTGGTTGGCTGGATGGTTGGTTGGTTGGTTGGTTGGTTGGTTGGTTGGTTGGTTGGTTGGTTGGCTGGATGGTTGGTTGGTTGGTTGGCTGGATGGTTGGTTGGTTGGTTTGGTTGGTATGTTGGATGGTTGGATGGTTGGTTGGTTGGTTGGTTGGATGGTTGGTTGGTTGGCTGGTTGGTTTGTTGTATGGTTGGTTGTTTGGTTAGATGGATGGTTTGTTGGTTGGTTGGATGGTTGGTTGTTTGGTTGGTTGGTTGGTTGGTTGGCTGGATGGTTGGTTGGTTGGTTGGTTGGATGATTGGATGGTTGGTTGGTTGGTTGGATGGTTGGTTGGTTGGCTGGATGGTTGTTTGGTTGGTTGGTTGGTGGGATGGTTGGTTGGTTGTTTGGTTGGTTGGTTGGTTGGCTGGATGGTTGGTTGGTTGGTTGGTTGGTTGGATGATTGGATGGTTGGTTGGTTGGTTGGTTGGTTGGTTGGTTGGTTGGCTGGCTGGTTGGTTTGTTGTATGTTTGGTTGTTTGGTTAGATGGATGGTTGATTGGTTGGTTGGAATGATTGGTTGGTTGGTTGGTTGGTTGGTTGGATGGCTGGCTGATTAAAGTGCCTGGCTTGTGCTGGCTTTTCAAAAATGGAGGCCTGAGGACTTGGGAGGGCCACAGGCCTCAGCCTTGCATGGCCCACTGGCATCCACAGGCATGTAACTCACCCAGGGGCAGCCCTGGCACGATGTGTCCAGTAGCCTGTTGGTGCCATGCAGGGGTGAAGAAGACATCAGGCACAGATCTGCATCTGGGGGCCTTGTGAGTGGTGTCAGGGGCCATCAGGGAGGCATGGATCACAGATGTGCTTGATTTCAGAAGTGTCCCTGTCCCACCATCCCAGGCTGCAAGAGGAGAGTCCACGGTTGGGTGAATGACTTCAGATCCCTGAACATGCATGTCTATGAGCTGGGCTTATCCTTTTTGGCTATTAATGAAGATTTAATGCTGGGAAGCCCTTAGCTGAGGCTGGGGCAGAATAAGTGCTTAATAAACACCACCGTTGGAAAGCAGTGATGTTCTTGGAATGCAGGGCATTGGCTAGGCTCATGGACAGAGACCCCACGCTCTTAGCATGGGGAGGATGGTGCTGCTTGTCCATCTTCTTGGTGGTCCTGGTCTTCTCTGGGCAGCAGGCCCTTGGCCGCCTAATGCAAGTGGCCTCATAACACCCAGATTCAGATTACAAAGTGGGCTTAGGAAGCCTGCATTCAAGGTTAGCACTCACCCTGGGTTCAGGCCCTCCTCCCAGGGCCACAGTGTCCCTAGACCCAGGCCTGGGCTGTATTTTCTCCTGTGCTAATTTCACAAAACACACAACTCATATTCCTGTTGATTGAACAGTTTTGTGTTGACAGCAGTGAAGATTTGTGACCAAGTTTATCATTACCCCAGTGCGTGGACGATTTGTACGGCTCTGAGGCGCTCACAGGGGGGATACATTTTATGGCGCGCTTGGAAGACAAACATACGCATTTATATGTCACTTGTTGCAATATAAATGCTAACTTGTACTTCTTTCAAAACTTTTAATGAATTGTATACATTCTGGAAGATTTACAGGGTGAATGGGATGACTCAAAATGTTACTTTAAACATATTTGTCATTTTGGCAATAGCATCAAAAAAATCTGGAAGATATTGCATTCAGAAATAAATCATAAAAAGAAGCATCTTACAAGAGGTTTATTTTGGTCATTAATGGTTGATGGGCCCCCCCATGCAGGATTTAAAGTTAAATTATGCAAAGTCAAAAACAAACCTTATAATACTTAATCAAACATGCATAAAACTGTCAGACCCAAATAAATTCTCTCAATTAACTTGCTTCAGATTGTGATTGCATTCGCTAATTTAATCAGCCTCAGAGTAATCTAGAGGCTGGGAAATGATGAATTCCTGTGAACACGAGCCCGACGGGGGCCAGGGCGGGACACCAAGCCTGGAGCTGAAGGCCTTCCGAGGTGGGGACCGAGAACCAGCTCTCTTTCCAGCTGGGGAGCTGTTTCGGTCAATCCCTGACGTGGAAGTAGATTCCGTCAGCCAGGCACAGGGCTCGACTTCACTGCTGTCTAGGAACAGCCCGAGGCAGCCTCCTTCCCACACCTGTAGCAGCCAGACCAGGGAACACCGTCTGGAAAAAGCTTCACTCCGGTTTTGCTTGGCTCCACCAACCTCAGCCTGGGTCCCTCTGTATCTTTTCCCGAACAATGAGAACCCAAATGTGCTCAGCATGGCTGTTTCCATCCACATCGCCCCTTCAGAGCCTGCTTGTGCCTACCGAAGATTCCTGATTAAATCAGGATTATGTCCTTTTCTGGGGGAAGGGGCCCTGTCTTGGACACCATGGGCTGGAGGTGGCGCCTGCACTGTGGGCTTGGAGCCTGTTGGGCATCCGCGGCTCCGCCCCAGGCTTACTCGGCCACTGCAGGAGGCCGCCTCATCCGGCAGAAACCCCAAACCCAGGCAAACTGCACCGACACCCCGAGACCCACGCAGGTGTTTGTGCTTAAAAATGGAACCAAAGTTTTGTGGGTATTTTTGTAAAATTTAGTGAATCTAATTCAACCAGAGCCAAACCTGTTTATTGTGTCATTCTAGTGGATGAGGAAGAGACAATGGAGAGAGACAGACAAAGAGAAACAGACAGACAGACAGACAGAGAGAGGGAAGGAGGGACACAGGGAGGGAGAAACAGAGAGACAGAGATGGAGAGAGACAAAGACAGAGACAGAGAGAGGGAGGGAGGAGGAGGAGGCTGGTGCATGCCTTTTCTGAGCTGACCGTGAGCTGAATCACTTTGGCGCAGTCCAAGGCCCTGATTGCTGCCTGAACCCACCTTGGGACCCCACCTCATTCCTCCAAGGCCCCCTTCCCCCCACCTCTTGGTGGACCTCCGTGAAGCCCTCAGCACGCATCTCTGTGGGGCCCTGCACAGATGGGGCTTCAGGCCAGCCTCGGACGTTTGACGGCCCCTGCTCTCCATCTGGCTAAATGCCCTGTTTTAATTGAATTTCAAAAGAGGGGTGACGGGACATACATGGGCTTGCATTCTGCTTTTTCCCTGCTTGACCTTATGGATTGAACGTTTCTTCAAGTCCGAGTACCCCTCATAAATCTCGTGTTCAGTGGCTGTGGTGTATTCCAGAGTTCAGATGTGCCATCATTCACCTCGCCTTTCTTCTCCGATTGGGTGTGTGAGTTGGTGCCAATGTTTTGTTATTATAAATGCTGCTGTGATGAACATCCCTGCACATAAATCTGTGCACGCGTACATTTCAAATACCGCCCTCTGGTTGGACCTGCCGACGGGGCTGAACTTTCTAAGGCTGCTGACACGTGCCCTGGCAAGCTCTGTGCTGCCCACTGGCCGGCCGGGCTGGGGGCTCCCCGCCTGAGCCCCACCATCGCCACCCTCACCCGCCCTCCCTGGGGTCTTCTGAGAGGCAGCGAGGCTGTTTCCTGCCAAGGGAACCAGGCCTGGCATCAGCCACTTACAACGTAGGCAGCTGAGAGCGCCCCTCGCAGGGAGGAGTTGGGGGGCTGAGGGGCTCAGGAGCATTTGTCTCGGGAAGGGAAGGCCCGAAGCATCTGGGGAGCTGCTGAGCTGTGACCTGGCTGGAAGCTGGGAGGGTGACGTCCCTGGAAGGGAGACACTGGCATGCCACAGCCAGGTGCAGGTGGCCAAAGGACAAACCCCGGTGTGAGTCTTCACGCCCAGAGGCTGGAAGGGGAAAGGTGGGTGCCAGGGGCTGGGGTGGGGGTGTGAGTGTTCCATGGGGACAGAGCTTCAGTGGGGAAGATGGAGACTTCCGTGGATGGAGGGAGGTGATGGCTGCACCGTCAGGCGAATGCACTCAGAGCCACTGAACTGTGAGCTTAAACATGGTAAGATGGGCCGGGCGCGGTGGCTCACGCCTGTAATCCCAGCACTTTGGGAGGCCGAGACGGGCGGATCACGACGTCAGGAGATCGAGACCACGGTGAAACCCTGTCTCTACTAAAAGTCCAAAAAAAATTAGCCAGGCGCGGTGGCGGGTGCCTGTAGTCCCAGCTACTCAGGAGGCTGAGGCAGGAGAATGGCAGGAACCTGGGAGGCGGAGCTTGCAGTGAGCCGAGATCGCGCCACTGCACTCCAGCCAGGGGGACAGAATGAGACTCCGTCTCAAAAAAAAAAAAAAAAAAGGTAAGATGGCGAATTATGTGTATTTTACCACAAGAAAAAGAGAAAAAAAGGATATCAAAAGTGACAGACAGGGAGCCCAGGTAGAGGTTGGGTAAAGTGAGGAGGGCTGGAAGGTGACAGCGAGAGCCATTTTCATCCCAACTCCCAATTCCAGCATCGTCGGGCAGCTTCTGTTAGAAGAAAATGGAAATAAATACACGCTGTGCCGGGAGAGCAGGTCTACGCAGGACAAGCTCTGGGACAAACAGAGGCCGGGGATGCATCCCCACGCCTGCCTTTGGGGCCCCCGGGACCGCCCGGGTGACAGTGTCCAGGTTGGGCCACTCACAGTGGACCAAGCAGGGCCACCACTGACGGACCCCTGAGCTGTTGGCAGAATGACAGGCCATTCCCAGCGCTTCTAAGGCCGTGGTGCTCTCACCAGAAACACCCTCCCATCCTGCTCAGGCATCTGGGGCTCTAGAGACCACTCACCCCCGGGCTGGGAACGAGGGGCGTCCTAGACTCTCCTCCTCACTGTCACTCCTGTTGGCCAATCTTGCTGTCATTACCTGTTTTTTTTTCTTTTTTGGTCAGACAGAGTTTCGCTCTTGTTGCCCAGACTGGAATACAGTGACATGATCTTGGCTCACTGCAACCTCTGCCATTCGGGTTCAAGTGATTCTTCTGCCTCAGCCTCCCCAGTACCTGAGATTACAGGCATGTGCCACCACGCCCAGCTAATTTTTGTATTTTTAGTAGAGATGGGGTTTCACCACATTGGCCAGGCTGGTCTCAAACTCCTGACCTCAGCTGATCCACCCACCTTGGCCTCCCAAAGTGCTGGGATTACAGGCATGAGTCACCGTGCCCGGCGCCATTACCATTTTTTAAATGTAACTTTTTAGTTGATATGACATTTCCATGATTGAAGATCAAACCACATCCTGGCTGTGTGATTAGGAATGTATGTTTACATTCCCTTTTTCTTTCTTTTTTTTTTTTGATTGTGGCAAAAGACACATAACAAAATTTGTCATCTTAACCATTTCCAAGTGCACGATTCCGTGTCACTGAGCACATTCACGGTCCTGCAGCCCATCACCATCCTCTATCTCCAGAACTCACCACCTTCCCAAACTGAAGCTCTATCTCCATGAAACACTTACTCCCGTCCCTTCCCAGCCCCAGGACCCTCCATTTGACTTTGTCTCTGTGGCTCTGAGGGCCCTGAGCGGAATCACAGGGTTTGTCCTTATTCATCCTGCCTCTCTTACGTTCAGGCCAGAAGCACGCCACGCCTCCGTGATCAGGTACCTGAGGCCTGGAGTCCCTTCCGCAGCAGAGCACAGACATCCTCACCCACTTGCACAGCTGCGTGGCTCTCCCTCGGGGGACGGACAGGGAGGCTCTGGCATCCCTGCTTGGCTGCTCAGGTACCTACAGTGTCATCAACACCTTCCCAACTATGATCTGTCCCCTCCTCGCATCACACCCCACAGCACTGGCCCAATCCTTCCAGATGCTTCCACAGGTCCTCCTGCAGTTGCCTCCCACTCAGAGGGAACCTTCTCAAAGGCAAGCCTGACCCACAGCCAGGAGTCTGGGCTCCTTTCTGAGCATCTAGAGACTCTAACTCAGCCCAGTCATGGCTGAGGCCACCCGGTCCCAAGGACACCAGGCTGCCCATGGCCAGGGGCCACACCCCCGACGCCCCTGAACCTTTTCCCATGTGCCCCCCCCCCTTCTTGGCAGTCTCGCATCCCCTGGCAAACTTTTCCTTTCATATCCTTCAAAATTCAGCTCAAGGCCTCCTCTTCCAGGAAGCCTTCCTGATTGCAGGCCAGACTCACCCCAGTGCCTGTCCCAGAACCGGCCCTGGAGAAGGAGGGGCTGTCCGCACACCTGTCACCCGCTGCATCACACAACTTATTCAGGCAGGGCTGACCTGGTTGGAATGAGAGAAACGCTCTCCAGGCATCTCTGACAAAAGGTTCTTGGCAGCCGTGCTGTCTTGGTTGTCCTGGGGCGGGTCGTTGCATCTGATTGCTCTGTCCTCTGTCCTGGCAGCAGTCCCGGACACCAAGGCCAGGCTGGACCTACCTCTAGGAGTGCTCAAGTAGGGAATGGGGCAGGTGGGGGTCTACGAGGAGGCCAAACAGGGATCAGGAGGGTAGAGGGCGGAGGGCGGTCCCAGGAGAGAGCTCCCCCTGCAACCTGGGGTGTAGGCCAGGGGCCTACATGAGAGCAAACCTCGGGCAGGGCTAGTGGCTTTCTAGGCAGGGGTTTGGGAAGCGCCACACTTGGGTGTGGGGGGAGGGGAGCATGGGGTGGTGCCTGGATGTGGCACCGAGACCATGGGTATGAAGTGTTGGGTTTCGGAGGTGAATGCGGGTGGCCCAGACAGGCTGCAGGGTAGACTGAGCCCTGGGCGGGGGGGGGGGGGAACGGCCGCCACGCGGCCAGCAGGGGGCGCTCCCGGCCCGCGCCCAGCGCCTGGCCTCGCTGGGGTCCGTGGCTCGGCTGGATCCCCCACACCAGGTCTGACTGAGTCTCTATCCTCCCTGTGCGGCTCCTGCACCCCGGCGAACCCGGCTCTCTCTGTGCCTCAGTTTACTCCTGCGGTCCGCTGAGCGGGAAGTGGAGCCCTGGCTCGGGGACCTCAGCCCGAGGCCGGCGCTGCTGCGGGAGCCCAGGCTTCCTGAGGCCGCCCCATGCACAGGGGCGCTGCAGAGCGCGGAGCCCGGGAGCTCGCACCGCCTGTTCGTGGTGTCCCTGGGGTGCAGGGGTGGAGGACATAGGGATATGGGGGCCGTGGGCAGCCCCAGGCGGGACGCTGTGCCAGTGCCGCCCCAAAGGCCCAGTGCGCAAGGTCCCTCGGGCCCCGGAGCCTGCCCCGCCCCTACCCGGTACCCCTCCAACCCCAGCCTGCTCCGCCCCTATCCCCTGGGCCTCGCCCCCGCCCCCGTCCCCACCCCTATCCCTAAGCTTGCCCCGTCCCCAAGCCCGCCCCCAGCTCCCGCCAGGCCCCTGCAGCTGCCCAGCCCCGCAACCCCGAGCCTGTCCCGCCCCCGCACCCGATACTCCACCAACCCGGGCCTACCCCTACCCCGCTCCGCCCCCGAGCCCGCCCCCCAACTCCTGCCCGCCCCGTCCCGCAGCCGCGCAGCCACCACGCTGGCTCCGAGCTGGTCCGAGGAGCTGCAGCGGCGCTCGCCAGCGCCAGGGGGCGGCGTTGTCCTTCCCGCGGCTCCGGGACCCCCGCTTGCTCGGGGGAGGGGAGACCGCCTTGCAGCGCCGCCCCCAGCCCCGCGCCGGGACCCCTGTGCCCCTTTCCTTCCTCCTGATAGGGGAAGAGCGGCCCCGCCGCCCGGGCGCCGACTTTTCTTGCAGAAGCACAGGCGGGGGGTGGGGGACCCAAGCCAGGGGCGTGTGTGCGCTCGGCGCCCCCTCCAGAGGGTCACCCAGCAATCAGCAGCGGTGGGGCGGGGAGAAACAGAGACAGAGAGCGAGGGAGAGAGAGACAGAGAGAAGGAGGGAGAGAGACAGAGAGAGAGCGGGAGACAGGCAGAGAGAGAGAGATGGGAGAGAGAGAGAGAGACAGAGAGACAGGGGAGAGAGAGAGAGGGAGAGAGAGATAGAGAGGGGGGAGAGAGACAGAGAGAGCGAGAGACAGGTAGAGAGGGAGAGACGGGAGAGAGAGAGAGAGAGAGACATAGAGACGGGGGGGAGAGAGAGAGGGAGAGACAGAGAGAAGGAGGGAGAGAGACAGAGAGAGAGCAGGAGACAGGCAGAGAGAGAGAGAGAGAGAGACGGGGGAGAGAGAGAGAGGAGAGAGAGGGGGAGGAGAGAGGGGGAGAGGGGGAGAGAGAGAGAGGGAGAGGAGGGGGAGAGAGAGAGAGAGAGAGAGACGGGGGAGGAGAGAGGGGAGAGGAGAGAGGGAGGGGGGGAGAGGGGAAGGGAAGGGGAGAGGGAGAGAGAGATAGAAAGGGAGGGACGGGAGAGAGGGAAGGAGACAGGGAGAGAGGGAGAGAGAGATAGAAAGGGAGGGACGGGAGAGAGGGGGAGAGGGAGAGAGGAGAGAGAGGAGAGAGGGAGAGAGAAGGAGAGAGGGAGAGAGAGATAGAAGGAGACGGGAAGGGAAGGGACAGGAGAGAGAGAGAGATAGAAAGGGAGGGACGGGAGAGAGGGAAGGACAGGAGAGGGAGAGAGATAGAAGGGAGGACGGGAGAGAGGGAAGGAGACAGGGAGAGAGGGAGAGAGAGATAGAAAGGGAGGGACGGGAGAGAGGGAAGGAGACAGGGAGAGAGGGAGAGGAACAGAGACAGAGATGGGGGAAGAGAGACAGAGACAGAAAGGGAGACCCCACTTCTCAGGCAAGAGCACACGGGGCATGGGGTTGGTGCGAAGCCCTGCTGTGCACCGGGGCTCAGGTGAGCCAGGCTGGCACCGGACGCCTCCCGTGGAGACAGCACAGGGTCCTGGTTCCACCGGGATGTTCCACAGTCTCCTTCCGGGCTGGCAGCGAGGCCGTGGGGAGCAAGTGATCTGTCTCAGAGCTGACAGGCTGCGTGCGGGGCACAGACCGAGCCCTCGGGGAGGCAGCGGTTAATGCGGCTTGTCAGGCCAGTCAGTGGTCGCAAGAGAAAGGGCTTGGCCTTTCAAGGGTGCCCTACACTGCACAGTGAGCCCCTGGCCGCTGGCCCTGCTGGCGCCATTGTCTCCCTCTGGGTGGTCTGAGCTGCTAAGGATAGGTGTGGACAGGAGTCCCACAGCCCTGGGACTGGCTCACCGCGTCCTCTTCCAGGGGGCGTTAGAACTGAAGCTTGAACACAGCCTGGACATCTCCCCAACCTTCCCCCTGGCAGGCAGCTCCTCCACCACCCTCCTGTGTCCCCAGCCACCCCATTCAGCAACTTGGGCGTAAAACAGACACCCGTTGGCTGAATGGCTCTTCCGGACACAGACAGCTTCAGACAGGAGGCAGGTTGGCGGGCCAGCAATGGCTGATGATGCTCTGGGGTTTCTGGAAAGATGGTTCTGTGAGGTCTAGGGGACAGGGAGGGACAGTTCAGAAAGGAGTTGGTCCCGTAAAAGCGTTTGTGTGATAATGGGCCGGGCGTGGCTCACATCCATAATACCAGCCCTTTGGGAAGCCAAGACGTGAGGATTACTTGAGGGCAGGAGTTTGAGACCAGCCTGGGCAACATGGTGAGACCCTTGTCTCTACAAAAAGATTTCTTTTTTTAAAATTAGGCATGGTGGTGTACACTTGTAGTCCTAGCTTCTTGGGAAGCTGAGGCAGGAGGCTCACTGAAGCCCAGGAGGTGGAGGCTGCAGTAAGCCGTGATCAGGCCACTGCACCATGGCACTCCGACAGTGACAGAGTGAGACTTTGTCTCAAAAAAAAAAAAAAAGAAAAAAGAGAAAAACTAAATATAGACTTCTTCTTCTTCTTCTTTTTTTTTTTTTTGAAGTGGAGTCTCACTCTGTCACCCAGACTGGAGTTCAATGGCACGATCTCGGCTCACTGCAACCTCTTCCTCCCAGGTTCAAGCCATTCTCCTGCCTTAGCCTCCCAAGTAGCTGGGACTACAGGCGTGGGCCACCACACCTGGCTAGTTTTTGTATTTTTAGTAGAGATGGGTTTTTACCATGTTGGCCAGGCTGGTCTCGAACTACTGACCTCAAGTGATCCACCTACTTCGGCCTCCCAGAGTGCTAGGATTACAGGTGTGAGCCACCGCGCCCAGCCTAGAGTTCATTGTTTAAAGCAGTTTCAGGTTCATAGCAAAATCATCATTCCTCAGAGTCCTCAGCGTACATTAGGCGCCCCTCTTGGAGGTGTGCATGGCGTGGCTTTGAGCAGGTACATAATGACGGCACCCGCCCTCACAGTGCTCTATACTATAGTTTCCCTGCCCTAGGAATCCCCGGCTCGCCTCATGCCTCCTTCACCCCTGCCCCGGGATTTCCGCTGATTCTATTGGATTCTTTCTTGGGATTCTGGCCAGGCAGGGACAGGGGTTCACACTGCTCAGACAGGAGACAGGATCCTGAGATAGGGGCACTCACCCTCAGGACGGGCTGAGGACTGACTCGAGGCCAGGGTCACACACCTGGAAACGTGGCTTAGCTCCATCCTGTGGGCAGCCAGACGGGCAGCTGTCGTGACCCCTGCTGGCTACTCACGCCCCTTGGCACAATCGTGGCCATGGGGGAGCTGTTCTGTTGTGGAACATGAAGGTCATGGAGAGCCACAGTGGCACAGGCAGCATGTGACCAGCTCTCAGACAAGTGCTCAGGGAATGTCCAGCAGGGTTGTCACCCCGTGTGGAGCAGACAGCCCTGAAGTGGCCCCAGCATTTCCTGCAGTCGGCCAGAGAGGCAGGGTCAGTTGCTTGAGCGTCTGGAGGCTTCTCCCCTGCCCAGCCCGCCTGCTGTGTGCCCACAAGCTTGGTGGCCAGGAGACATTTGTCAAAGGAACGCCTGATTGCATGAATGAACAGATGCCTTCTCCCGTGAATTGCCTTGATGCCTACAGAGGCAGGACCAGAGGCCCCCACCTGGCTGTCAGAACTATAGGGCGATCGGGTGGCTTGCTGTACCCACCCCCATAACCTCCCGATGGCCATTTATCTGCAGAGCTGGTCCCCACAGGGATCAGAGCTTGGCAGGGGCTCCGATTTGCCCAGCCTTGAGGACTTGGCCATCACATACCAGGGTCCAGGTAAGGGCAGCCAGTCTGTTGGCCCTGGAATGATGCTTGTGGTGGAAGCCACGAGCGCCCCTCACCCCAGACGCCCAGGATGCTCTGGACACAGGCCACAGGGGGCACGGGCGTCAAATTAGCATTGCAGGAGGGTCCTGCGACTGTTGATATCAGCACTTCGGGGTTATTTATGAATTCATCTATTTCCTGGGACAAGCCTTTCTGCATTCGGTTGCCATGGTAGCTTTAAACCCGGTATCTTATTAATTCTGCATGTTATGAAATAAATATAGATCAGACAATTGCAGTGAAGGTTCTATTTTTTTATTATGCGTTTGGTTCTTGGTGCCGGGGATGGGATGCTCCCAGCACACCACTGTCAACACACATCCATCAGCCTCAGGGGCCTGGGCGGGCTGCAGGGGCGCACTCCTGCGCCTGAGAACAGAGTGGAGCTGGGAAGGGGACACGAGGCTGCCTCAGGGAAAGGGTGAGGCTTGAAGACCCCCTGGGCACCGGCAGCTCCTGAAGGAATTTCTGCAGGCCGGCAGGGATGGACGCACCGGGGAGGGAGGCCAGTGCCCTGGGGTGCTTCGGCTGGAATTGCAGGGCCAGTGGGTTGGAATGGCCCCCAACTGTGGAGTGGGAGCTCATGATGATGCCGAGCGGAGGTGCCAGGAGCAGGGGCCGCTCAGCCGCCCCTGGCACTGCCCGAGCAGAAGAAGAGACTCCATGGAACCAGCACTGAGCTGCCCCTGGCGCTGCCTGAGCAGAATAAGAGACTTCATCGGACCGGCACTCAGCCGCCCCTGGCACTGACTAGGCAGAAGAGACTCCATCGGAACCAGCAGGCGTCACGGTCCCTGATGTTCTTGAGGTTTCAGGCTGGCAGGGAAAGTCCAGTTAGGGAGGAACCAGAGGTGGAGAGGGGGCCTGCCGGGATCTCTTTTGGGCACCTTGGCTATCGCTTAGTTTCGTGGGCCGTTGTGGGGACTCAGTGAGCTGCCCTGATAAAGCTGAATCGCCCGGTGGGCTGGGAAGCGGGGATGTTTCCACCTCCACTTTGCAGAGCCCAGAGACATGAAGTCACAAGTGCACCAGCCCATGGCGATCCATGGGGACTTGAACCCAGGGCTGTTTCCTGCAGGGCCTGG